AAGAAAATTTTTACTCGACCCGTAACAATTTATTATTATTATTATTTCCGTTACTCCCTAACAAGAGAATCCATGAAAAATAATTTTTTTTTTTTTCCGGTTATCTTGTTAAAAAAAAACTTTCGTAAGTAAAATAATGACAATCGATAGGTGTCGTCAACAAAAAAAAATGGCGGGAATTAAAGAAAAAAATGGCGGAAAAAGAAATGATTTTTTTATCATCATTATCATTATTAATGATTAATATTCTTTGAAACATTACCTTTCCTTATATTTTTCAACTTGAGAAACAAACAAAAACATTTTTCTTTTATACTATTTTTTCTTTTTTTTGTAAATTCTCACATTTCTCATCATTTTTTCTTTACAACAGGAATATTACGTAATTTTTAATCAAGTAATAAAACCGACGTGATAAATGTCTTTTATTTTCTAAGAAAAAAAAACCAGTAATAATTTTTTTTTTCTGTCTGATCGTTTTTCATCTTTTGTAATAATTAATTTTTTAAAAGACTTTACTAAATATAATATGAAAAGTGAAATAATTAAATTAAAACTTTTAAGAAATGTATACGTTTATTATGTCATATTTTAAATTTAATTGGAATAAGGTTAAAAAAAAAAAAAAATTCTATAGTAAAATATTTTGTAAATGAATAAATATTATCTTCTATATCTGTATCTCTTGAAATGAAACCATAATTGAAAAATATTATTGTGAAATTGACACCTAAAACCTCTTTTATATGAATATTCCCATTCTCTGTTAACTATTTTGAATGCTATGTCTTCGTATGGAGGTCCAGCATGAAAACGAAGAACGGCAAAATCCCTGTTGTCTGAACAAGTTGTCTGAAAACAAAATTTATTTATTTTTATTATGGGATGTATTACATGCAGGGGCAAAAATCATAAATTGCATTTTAATGTGATAACTAACCAGATAATATTCGGGAGTTGAATTTTTTTCTATTAAATCTGGATAAAATATATTAAATTTGTATCCCTGAACAATTTTGGGAGGAGGATTATCCATATCGTAATGAGTTTGATTGTATTTGTTCCATTCGAATCCTGTATGAACTCTGTTAAAATATCTTGGCTTTCTAGGCCTGTATTTATCTGACCACAAATACATTTGAGTATCTAATGCTGATTCTACTGAAAATTCTACTTCATCGCTTGTCATTCCCCTCCTCGCTTCCTGGTGAAGTACTCTTTCTTCTGCTGTTAATATATTCTGAAAAAGAAAAATGAATTTTTTTAAATTAAGTGTACGTACTGGTATAGGGTTTCAATACAATATAAAAATTTATAAATATTTACTTCAACTCTTTGACCTGTTCCCAACACTTGATTTCTAGAAAATTCTAATCTTTGGGTATCATCTTCTTCTGTGGTTACCAGTGTACCAGGTTCCAAGTCAGATGGATTTAGATATTTTGGACTATATCCTCCAGATTCATAATCTGCAAAACACTCATTGAGCATGTCATTGACAATGTCTTGTTCATCTTTTTCACTTTCTTGACTATGTTCTGAGTCATCTTCATCTGATTCATAGTTTGGTTCTTGCTTTATAGTATTTAATTGATCTGCATCTTCATAATCTTCACCTGTGGCAGCAACACCTTGTTCTGCTTTTAACATTTCTAATTTATGCCTTAAGTTATCCTGATGCCTGTCTCTTAATCTTGCCCTGGCCATATGAGCTTTAAGTTGAGATAATAATGATTCCCAGTATCCAATATCAATACCATCTGTTTTACATGTGATTTTTGATTCTATTTGCTGTTGAAGTGCTTCCAACTGAGAAGCTGTTTTGCCTTTAAAAACTGAAGCAACATCAGATACGACAGATTGATGAATACCTTCTCTCCTATCGACTGCCACTTCATATTCACTTTGCTTTTCTAACTTTCTCAATTTTTTTAATTCATCTTCAACAATTACAGTTATATCATTCCAATAATCCAAATTTCTACCCCTTTCTAATTCTTTATAAACTTTAATATCTTCTATTAAATCTTCTAGGTCTTTAGTTGTAAGACCATTTAAATAAGTATAGGGCTCATGCATTTCAACAGCATCAACTTCTTCTTCAGCACCTATGTATTTGGCTAACAAGTCTATAGGTTTTGCTCTGCCATCATCAATTCTTATTTTAGACCTTAATCGAGCTTGTTCTAAATGAAATTGATCTTCTTGCCTTTCCCATTCCTGAAACTGTGCAGCTTCTTTATTTCTTTGCATTAATGCCACTTCTTCCTCTCTTTGATGCCTCTCTAACTCTCTCTCTTGTCTTCTTTTTTTTACTTTTTCTAATTCTCTTTTATTTTCCTCCTGCTTTTCCCTATTTCTTTTTTCTAATTCTTCAGAACTTACACCTGTTAAACCATCACGATCAAGTTTTTTTTTCCAAACAAATGTATCTAGTAAATTAGCATCACCAAACGGATTATCAGTATTCGTGTAATGTAAGTAATCACTATCCCAACCCATTCTTTCTTTCCTTTTCCTTTCTTTGGCTTCTTTTTTTTTCAACCTTCTCAACCTTTTTTCTTCTGGAGTTTCATTTAATTTAGCCAACTCCTTAAGTTTTTTAATGTTCTCAGCTTTTTTTAATCTTTCTTTTTGAAGCCTTTTCAATAATTTAATTGAATCAGTAGATGAAGTTGACATTTCAGATTCACTTCTAGATGAACTTGATTTTCTTTCATGTTTTTTTTTCTTTTTGGATTTTGACTTGTGCTTTTTATGACTTTTTTTATAAGTGTATGACTCTCTAGACCGAGACCTAGATCTTTTGCTTTTACTTCTGTCCATTTAGAAATAAAAAAAATACCTATATATCCCAATACAAAAATATACCTATGCTTACTTGTCCAACTAAGGTTATAAAAAAATTTAAATAATTTTTAAAAAATTGAAAAATATTTTACTTATATTATTTTATTTTATTATAAAAATATTTTTCAAATTAATAAAAATTATTAATTTTATTTTTTATTACTAAAAAAGTTAAATAAAGTAGCTCAACGTTTTACGTAGTAGCTGATCATGCGCAGTAAAGAAACGTAAGTCTCATTCGTTTGTTTTAACGGTCAAAGTGAAGTTGCTCTTTTTGTGGTGTAATACTTGATTATAATATTAATAATTTGCTTTAAAATTACATTTTTTAAAGATGTCTAGCGACGAATTTTATTATTCGCCTAAATATTACGATGACAAATATGAATACAGGTAATAAAATATTTAATTAAATTGAATTTTGTTTTCACGGCATAACCCTACTGTCATGTCTCATCTTGTCAAATTTGTTTTCTGTTTTAATTAAAATTATTATTTTTTAATTGTTTTTTACTTTGTCAAATAATTTATTTTAATAAAATTAAAAATGCATTAATGTTTTTTTAATAATTAATTTATTATATTATTAATAATTGAATATTTTGAGTATTAAATGAATAGGCTAAGATAGCGTCTATTTATTTTAGCGCCCGAAACAATAAAAATATAGCACCTGGCCTATTCTTTCTTTTTGTTTTGAATTTTCTTTTTATTCTTTATAATTTTTATAAGCCGTTCATAAATACGTTAGTGAAAAAATATTTTTGCGCGATCTTTGTCGCATTAAAAAAAATCTAAAGAAAAGAATTTATTTGCATGTGCATGTTTATTCGGTTTAAAATATTTGAAATATTTAAATTGTACAAATTTGAAAATTGAATTTTTAAAAATTACTTTCTCGTTTTTTTTTTGTGTTTAAATTTTTAAAATTGCCCAAGGTTTTTTTTTTTTTTTTTTTTTTTTTAATTTATTTAATTTACAACAATAATAATTCTTTCTTTTTTTTTTTTTAGGCATGTTGTTTTGCCAAAAGAATTAGCTAAACTTGTACCTAAATCACACCTTATGAGTGAAAGAGAATGGCGTGATATAGGGATCAAACAAAGTCAGGGATGGATTCATTACATGGTACACAAACCAGGTAAGTTTTTTAAAAATTTTTCAATATTATAAAATCAATCTGTAATGTATGTTTTTCACTCAATCAGTTTTTAGTAGATGTAATTTGAATTGAGAATGGATTCTTTAAAAAAAAAAAAATTATATTCTCTTATTTGTTAGCGATTTATTTTCTTACTCGTAGAAAAAAAAAAAAAAGCAGGGATGTTATCAATAAAAAAAATGACTTTTTAAATCTAAACAATTTTATTTCATGAACCCTAGTCAGGTATATCTTTTGTTGTACACATTTGATAAAAAATAAATAAAGAATACAGACAAGGTGGCAGATGTAAACACACAAAGGCCACAGATGCTTCTAAAAGACAGCTGTAAACCTATTTTAACTTGGTTTGCTAAACCTTTGAAATTTAAAAAAAAGAAAAAAAAGAAAAATGATATCTGAATACACACATGCACACACACACACACACACACATATATTTTTGTATTGATTAAAACATTTTTTTTTAAAAAAAGTACTCACAGTTTTTTTTTTTTTTTTTCAGAACCACACATTCTACTTTTTAAGCGTCCCATCACTAGTCAGCCTGAAAACCGATAATAATAATACTAATAAGAATTAAAAACCCATCAATAAAATAAAGGACACAAAAACAAAGAAAAAATTAATTATATATATATATATAAGACAAACATTCCAGATTAGTAAGTTTTATTGGATTAAATGATCAGTTTGATAGGGTCATTTTACAATAACTTAATTTTTTTGTATACAATTTTTTTTTTTTTTTTTCATTTATTTAAATTTTAATACATTAAATAATATGTTTAAAAAAAAAAAAAAAAAAAAAAATGTTTAAAAAAAAAAAAAAAGTGGAAAAAAAAATTTTTTTTTTTTTAAATTTATTCGTAAGGTTAATGTAATTCTATAAAGGGGTTTTTTTTTTTTTTTTAAATGTAAAAATGTTGAATTATATATTTGATTTTATATTATTAATTAATTATAATATAGATTTAAGATGTAAAGTTTTCTATATGAAAAATGTAGCTTAGTTATTTAGGTATTTGTGATATTTTTTAAAACATCTAACCAAAGTCGAAAATTGAAAGTATCTAAAAAAGAAGATGAAAGAATGTGTGTTTTATATATTTACATATATATATATATATATTTATATTTAGGTTAAATGTTCTTCTAGAGGGAAAACAAGAAAAAATTAATTTACAAAACCTAACATTATAAAAAAATATTTTCAGGTATGTTCTTCATTCATTTCGAAAAATCAGTTAATTAAACAATTTGTAATATTTTGTTACTATTTGAAATGGTTAAAGAAAAAGGAAAAAGAGTAGTAGGAGGAGGGTAGGAGAGTAGGAGGGAGGGGGGAAAATCAAACTATTTTGATTTATGTAAATACAATTTTTTGTAGATTCAAGATTGAGTTATAGCTCAGTGTACTGTGTTGTATTCGGTTAATGAATATTTTACTACTACCAGGTATGTTGTTGAAGGTTTTCGATGTTGTTAAAAACTTTGGTTAGTTGTGTTGTATCCGTCGTATTTTAATAAAAAAAGTAGAAAAACAAATCGTTGAATACATTTTATTAAAAAAAAAAAAAAAAAAAAAAAAAAAAAAAAAGGAAAAGTGTATTATTATATATAATTTTTTTTTACACTTGATCGTTTATATAGGTTTATGTAAAAAAGAATGCTATTTATAAAAAAGACAAAAAAAAATTAATAAATATGTAACCGTATATGATTTGAATCTTTTTTTTTTTTTTTTTTATTCTATATATATATATATATTCAGGATTATGATTTTTATTATACATTATTATTATTATTATTATTAATAATTAAATTGAAGGGGGAAAAAAAAAAAAAGGAAAACAAATCTATTTGTCTCAATATTTTTTTGGATATATTTTTTAAAATTAAAAATAATAATGACTGGGGTTTAATTGATTGTTTCTTAAAAGGTATTAAGTTTTTCAATTTGTTAATTTATTATTATTATTATTACCATTTTCATTTTTTTTACTATGTTTTTTATTACTATTATTATTATTATTAATATTTACGTTTCACTTTTTGAGTTTTTTATGTTTTATGTTTTTTTTTTTTTTTTAATAACGAAAACTTAATTAATAATCATGGGGATATACTTTATTAATGTTGGGGAGAACGGAAATTATTATTATTATTATTAATACCTTCATATTAAATTTTATTTTTTTTATTCTTTTCGTCATTTTTTTTTTTTTTTTTTTTTTTTTTAGCATTTTATGTTACAAAATGTTTTAAATAAATATTATTATTATTATTTTAATAAAAAAAAAAAAATTTTTTTAATTGTCAATTTTTAATTTTTTATTTATTATTATTTAAAAAATTGTTTTAAAAAAAAAAAAAAAGAAAAAATTTACACTTTGGATAATTTTCTTGCTCTTTTCTTTAAAATTAAATTTTCTTTTTTAACTTTTTTCTTAAGTGCTAATTTTTCTTTTTTTTTCAATTTGATTAATTTCTTTTCTTGAGATGACATCTTTGTTTTTTCTTTTGTACCTCCTCCTTTTGTTTTTTGCAATTTACTCTTCTTATTATTATTATTATTAGTATTTTTCTTTTCAATTTTCTTTCGTTTTTTTTTCGGTGACGTTTTTCCTTCCGTATCCTCATCGTCCTCATCATCATCATCATCATCATCATCATCAGGGTTTTTATTTCGATTGTTTACATTTCTTTTTTCAATCATTTTCTGTAATATAAATAAATAAAATGTTAACTAAAATTATTTCCGAAAGACAAAAAAAAAAAGAAAACAAAAATAATTACCATTAATCTTTTTTCTTTTTCTTCAAGTTCTAAATCATCTTCGCTTTCACTTTCATATTCTCCTATTTTGTTTCCATTTTCCACATCAGCTATGTACTCATCATCATCTTCATCATTCTCTTCGACTAATTCCATACCATCTTCATTTTCGTTCTAAATTTAAAAACAAATATTATTATTTCACCAATCAAATTATTTTAACATGCTTTTTAATTATTATTATCATTAAAATATTAAATATTAAAGAGAAAAAACTTTACATTGTCGGAATTGAGAGATTCATCCTTGTTTTTACTTATAATAACTGTTCCATCATTTTTAACAGTAACTTTTTTCCCTAAGGTGCTAAGTACTCCAGTAACTTTCTTTGCTCTTTTTTTAGTATTTTTTAATCTTATGGTACCTAAATTTTTAGGAATATCTAACAAACAAAATATCGATAAGTTTAAGGTTCAATATATTAAGGTATTACAAAAAAAATATGTATAAGAAAGCTTACCTTCGCAAATATACAAAGGAATACTTTTTTGATTTGATGAATGAATATACAACGCTCTAACATTTTTAAATCCTCCAGGTATGACATCATCAGATTGAATTTGTTTTAATATTTCTAATAAATTTTCTTTTATTTGTGATTTTGAATGTGATACAGTACCTACAGGTACAGAATAATTATCAGCAAAAGGTCTTAAATGTAAAGTTGTAGATAATAAGGCTCTCTGAATGTTTTCGTTAAATTTAGGATCAGCAGGAGCATCCCATGCAGGAAATGATATACCTAATGGAAGTCTTTAAAAACGAAAAAATCATAGTTTAATTAAAATTGTTAATTAGTTTCCTCCCATTAAATAATAAAATAATTTTATTACTTGTTTTTAGTAAAAAAAATTTTTCCCAATCCAGCTGTAAATCTGTGATTGAATAATAATGATGTTTTGCATAAAATAAATCGAATCTGTCGACAAGTTTTCTCTTTAATTCGAAAGAACTATATTCATTTTTTAACTGTTTTAAGGGCATTATCTAAAATAAAAAAATTATAAATTTTTATAATACAATGATAAAATTTGATTTAAAAATTATATAGATCACGTACTAACCGTTTTAATTCCTTCCACATTGTGCTTTTCTAAAAATTCTTTGTAATAATCTACTGTTAAATCAATTTCTTCATCAGTTGTTATTTTGTAATTTAATTCACTCCTTCTGTTTGGAACGAACAAACATGTTTCTGGATTGTCTCCAAAACGAGAATGTCGAAGTTTTCTTAATGAAAAATTAAAATTATAAAACGTAATTAAATAAAAAAAAACAGTAAAGTAAATTATACTCACAAATACTTTTTCCTTATACCGTTAATAATAGGTATTTTGAACAAGGTTATTTTCAGATGAATACTTTTTTTTTCAGAAAATAATTTCTTTTTAGAATTTAATTCTTCTAACTTACAAAATGCTTCTACAGAATTATCTACTTCTTTTGTAAAATCTTTCATTTTTAATGTAATGCTACATAAAATAAAAATACATAAATACCCACGTGCTAAGAACGTGTAAATAGAATTAATTAACTGTTATTATTGACACTGCTATTGATATGTCAAACGAATTTAAAGTTAGTATAACTAAAGATATGTAGAATTTTTTTTTTTTTTTATTTCTTTAATTTTTGGAGAAAAAAAAAAAATATGTTTACATTATTATTGACATGACCGATAAAAATTCTTTATTTTTATATTTATTTTTAAATAGAAATCGTTAAATTATTAAAAATGAGTGGAGGATTAGCTCCCAGTAAAAGTACAGTTTATGTTTCAAATTTATCATTTTCACTGACCAATAATGATTTGCATAAAGTTTTTAGTGAATATGGTAAAGTAGTTAAAGTTACAGTAATGAAAGACAGAAAAACAAGAAAGAGTAAAGGGGTCGCTTTTGTATTATTTTTAAAAAAAGAAGACGCACAAAATTGTTGTAAAATGTTAAATGGCAAAGAAATGTTTGGACGAACATTAAAGGCTAGCATCGCTTCTGACAATGGAAGAAGCGCTCAATTTATTCGACGACGTGATTATCCCGATAAATCCAAATGCTATGAGTGTGGAGAAGATGGTCACTTAAGTTATAAATGTCCCCACAATGTTTTAGGAGAAAGACAGCCTCCACCCAAAAAACAGAGAATAAGAAAAAAGAAAAACAAAAATTCGAGTGAACCTAATATTGATTTTGATAGTGATAATGAGGTTTATGAGCCAGATATGGAAACTTTAAGTGCTGCAATAGCATTAGATCATGAGGAAGCGGAAAAAATTAAATATGAATTTAAAGTTGCAACTGGACAATATGAAACGGGTGTAGACAAACCTGAAACTAGTAAAAGAAAAAAATTTAAACAAAATGGTTATTTCAGTGATGAAGAAGAAATTGATTAAACTTTATTTTTATATTTTAAAGCAGAGGAACATGAAAGTCGATATTGTACAGTTTATATTTAATGTATAAAAACTTTTTTAAATTTCAAAAAAATGGATATTTAATTTTTATTTAATATTTTATTAAACATTTGTATAAATCAGAAAAAGTTAAATTATTTACTTTTGTAACTTGAAATAATAAATCGATAAAACAAATAATTCCAGTATTCATAGATTTCATTTATTATTTATCAAACAGACAACTTTAATATCGTTTTTTTTTAGTGCAAGTAAAAGATACTTTTAGTACTATTTTTACAAATTAAAAAATTTTTTATTATGTATTACTAAATTAAATTACTCAATATTGAAAAAAAAATTTGATGAATAATGAGTTAGAAAATGCTTATACATGTGCATTGGATAATCATGAAAAAATTTTTATGTGATGTTTAAAATTAGAGATAACGCCCTTGGATTTATTTACATGAGGATTTTGTAAAATATATTTATGAAAAATATGCATGGAAAATGGTTTTTAAATCTTTATTATGGGATCACCATTTAATTTTTATTAATAATTAAAGAGATCATTTCAATAAGTTGGAATAAATAATAATTATTTAAAATTTTTTTCTCATCAATAATACTCTTCGATTTCTAATTTATTAATTTTAAAACTTTTTTATTCTTTGTAAATCATGAGAAAATTGTTTTATTTTTTATTCTTTTAATTTAATTTATTTATATTGATGTTATTATTATTATTATTTTTCATAGGGTCAATAATTTATTTTGGCTAAAAAAAAATATAGTTCCCAATTTAAAAAAAAAAAAAAAAATAATTTTTGATCAATCCTTGGCATGGCAAATGTTTATTTTTGGATTATTTTAGTTTGTTAAAAAAAATTTTTTTTTTTTTTATTTCTTTCTTCATTCTTTCGAGTTTTATTCATCCAATAAGTTTTTTTTTTTAAATTTTTTTTGTTTTCTTTTATTTTACAAAAAAAAAAAAAAAAAAAGGAAAGGTAAGATTGTTTTTATTATAATTTTTAAAAAATTATTTCTTATTTTTTATTTAAATTTAATTTAATTTATAAAAAAATTGTAACCGTAAATTTACATCGTAGAAAAAATTTTTTTTTTTTTTTCAAGATGTCTCTCGTTCCCTTATTATATCGTGACTGGTGGGATGACTTTGATCGTCCCATGAAACTTTTTGATCAAAATTTTGGTTTGGGTTTGAGAAGAGATGATTTGGTGAGTTCTCTTTTCAACAGTCCAATGCTTCGAAGTGGTTATTTAAGACCCTGGAGAGAACTATCGAGACAATCTAGTGGAAGTTCTACTGTACAATCCGACAAAGATAAATTTCAGGTACGACCAAAAACGGGCAGGTTTAAGACATTGAAATTTTTCATTTAATTCATGATTTAATTCAGGTTATATTGGACGTCCAACAATTTGCACCAAGCGAAATAGTCGTCAAGACGCAAAACAATGTTGTCCTCGTCGAGGGAAAACACGAAGAAAAACAAGACGAACATGGATTTATTTCTAGACATTTTGTTAGAAAATACGTATTGCCATCAGACATCGAGGTATCGAACATCACATCGAGTCTTTCTTCCGATGGAGTTCTTACAATATCAGCTCCTAAAAAGGTAACGTAAAAAAAAAAAATTTTCTTTCGTTCCCTAGCCCCCCTACACCTACAACTCGAATATAATTTCAGACAACTCCTGCTGTTGCTGGAGAACGCGTTGTCCCGATCAATCAAACTGGTAGACCTGCTGTTAAACAAGCACCTTCTACACCAACATCTGAAACTCCAACTTCCGAATCAGCACCAGTAAAATAAATCGAATCTTTTTTTAAATACGTTAACCCTAATTATGACAAAATAAAGGAAGTTCAAATTTCCGCCATTTTGAAACCGGAAATGAAATAATCTTTAACGAATTTCGGTTAACTTTACTAACAAAAAGAGAAATATTTTATGAGTATTTAGTTGAAATAAAATTACCCAAATTGTTTTTATTTTAATTTAATTTATTTAAAACTAAAAAAATAATAATAATAATAATAACTTTTATATAACAGAGTATATAATGAAAAAAATCAAAAAAATACAGAAAGTTTAATATTAAATATTTTTTTAAACAATATATATGATAAAATAAAATATCACAAATATATATTTTTATATATAAAAAAAAATATATATTATTAAGCGTTTAAAACAATTTCAAATGATAATAATGATAATAATAAAATATAATAATATCCGTTGAAATAATTTTATAATTATTGTCAAATTACAATTTGTTTATTTATTTATTAAAAAATTAAGTACCGTATAAAATATATATATATATTTATAAATATTTATTTTTAAATAATTGTTTTTGAATATTGATTAATAATATTTTGAGCCCAGAAATAATTTAAAAAAAAAAAAGTCGGTTTTTTAAATTAATAACATGTTGATAAAAAAATACTTTTTATAATAATAATAATAACAATAATCATTTAATAACCCTTGAATTATTTTCTGACTAGCAGAAAATTCGGTTTATTAAGAAAAAATTAATAATAATAATAATTTTTCTAAAAACATAATTTACCCAATTAATTATTTATGTAAAAAAAAAAAATTTATGTGATCCCATTTTAATTTTAGTTTAATTTTTAAACATCAATAATATAATAGTAATTTTTATTAAATTTATTTAATTTTTTTTTACTTACAAAAAAAGCATAATAAGCATTAAAAAAAAAAAAAAAACAAGATGGCTACTATCCAAGTTTTTTATTACAGCTTTCCTACACCAATAATAATAATAATAATAAAAACAACAAATAAATCAAATTATTTCAATTTAATAATAACTAATTAAATTTTTTTTTTTATTTTTTTTTTCAACTACTAACAATAAAATACAATGTTTGCAAAAAAAAATAAAAAAATAAAAAGAAAAATACTTTTACAATTTAATAATAAGCATACATAAAATTTTATTTTTTTTTTTATGTATAGAAAAAATTAAAAAACATATAAGAAAAGCAATTAAAAAATTAAAAAAAAAAACTTTGGATAAATATTTTATTTATTTATTATTGGTAAATATACTAATTATAACTTGTTATTAAACTTTTTATTTTTATTTTTTTTTGTTTTTTATCAACTAAAAATTTTTAACATATAAATACAATAATGTTTTTATTAAAATATTTGAAAATAAAACAACATTTTTTTTTTTTAAAATTAATAAGTAGATATGAATAAAAGGTAATAAATCATCAACAACAAATACATAAAGTATTTAATTTCAAATAACTAAATTATTTAACTTTTAGGTTGAACTAAACATCATTATTAATCTAAAAAAAAATTATTATATATATAAAATTCTGATTGTTATACTGTAGTTACTGTAATACTTAAAAAAAAAAAAAAATGATTTCCTTTCGAAAATTCTAAATACACATATTATTTTAATTATTATTATTATTATTATCATTTAAATGCAATTAAATTATTTTGGTTTTCAAAGCATATATAACTTCTTTTTTTCTAAGTAATGTTCAGTCATGGATGAAAAAATTTAGAAAATATAAATATAAAATTTTGGTAAAAAAAATTCTAGAAAGCTAGTAAATAAATTTACAATAATATTTTTATCCACTCCTCCATAAAAATTATTTTAAAAATGAAATAATAATAATAATATTGTAATACTGAATCATGTAGATGTAACACCTTTTCTAGCGACGAGAAGATTTAATACAGGATGCTTTTTTATATAAGTAACTGCTTTTTTATGCGTAACCATTGTAAAATCATATCCATTACACTGAAAAAATTAATTTTTATAAAATGTTTATTTTAATTGTTTTTAATTATTAATAATTAATATTGAAATGTAATTAGTTTTTTGTTTACATATTAGCATTCGATAAATTTATTTAAATTTCTCTTCACAGCTAAAAAAGTTTTTATAATTACCATTACTGCTATGATATGTAATCAAAATTAAAAATAGGCATAAAATTATTTTAAATCTGAATTAACTGTTAAACTTTATCTAATGATCATACCTGTAATATTTTATCATGCATTCTAAGTCCAGATTTTGCTGCCGGACTTCCCTCATGTACTTCAGTCACATAAATGCCCTACAATAAATTAATAATTTTAAAATTATTTATTATTATATTATTTAGAGTTGATATTTCAAATAATTTAAACATAATTTACATTATCTGTATAGCCCTGAGGACTTTTTCTAAAATCTTGATCAATTCCGCCTCCTATTTTAAAACCACATTTAAGTACTTTTCTTCCTTCACAATCTAAGCCGGATTCTTTTTGAAGAGTGATAGGAATCTGAAAAATAAATGTAGATTTAAAATACATTTAATTTTTTATTTTAATTGAGTTAATAATTCTAAATTAAAAAATAATCTGAAAAGGCAATACAATAATTTGAATAATAGTACTATTTATAGAAGTCTAAGTCATAGAATTACTGAGAATTGTTAAGGTATTTATGACTCAATTAAATAAACAATACGAAATATTTATTATTTTTTTTATTAATAAATCAGAATAAATATAATTTATTTAAGGCATGAGCTAAAGACGTTTTATTAAAATAATAAAATCAAAAAGTTATTCAAAAAAAAAAAAAAAAAAACAAATTAAAATAAGGTGTGAAATATTAAAATATTATCTATACGAAAATTCATATAGGTACGAATGAACCGTTTAATTTATTTATATTACTTACACTTAAACACTCCATAGCCGTGCCAGCCTGATGCTGAAAAGCCATTTTAGCACACATTGCATAGCCTTTTAGATTAAAGTCTATACAAAATTAAGACAAACACCAAAATTGTTTTTAAAAAAAAAAAACAAATTGAAATAACTAACAAATTTAGTAAATTTAGATAAGAACATAGAGTCCCTGACCTCAGTTTGTTTGCAATTGTGATGACCTAATATTTGACAAAGTGGCGACAATATTTTTCATTTTTTTTTTATTCCTAACGTTTTAAGCTCTAAAACCTTTTTATAATTTAAAACTCCATTTAATTATTTATAAAAATAATAATAATTGTAATAATTTTAAAATTAAACAATCCTTTCTTGTTTATAAGTTTTAAAATTATTGATGAAAAAAAATTATTTGGTATTAAAATTAAATTTTTTAGTTATTTTAAATAAAGAAAAACTTTAAAATTTACAAATTTATTAAAAAAAAAAAAAAAAAAAAATTTAACTTTTTTTTAAAATGCATACTTGAAAACTTTTGTCGCACAAATTTTATTTAATGACAATATGGCGAATTTTGAGTGTTTGGTATTTAAAAAGCTACAATTTAATTTCAATTTTTTAATTTTACGCCGTATTTTGATTAATCGTTATTTTAATTAATTGTTATACTTTTACTTAAATTTTCCTTTTTTCTTTTTTTTTACATCAGAATTTTTCATAATTTTTGTTCGTATGAAAAATGATTTATTAAAATGGATTGTCCAGCTACTCCACCAATACTTACTGAGGCAGATTCAAAATCTCCTCTACGAAGAACATTTTCATCTTCAGAGTCTGACGATATGAAATCTCCTTCTAGAGATTCTCAAGATTCTAATTGTGTTATATGTTTGGGAAAATTACAAAATAAATCATTTACTGATAGTTGTTTACATCAATTTTGTTTTCAATGCTTACTACAATGGTCTAAGGTAAGTTTCGTGTTATAAATATTTAGATAATTAATAACAATTTTTTGTAAAGTTTATAAATTTAATGAAATTTTTCTTTTATTTACAGGTAAAAGCGGAATGTCCATTGTGTAAGCAGCCTTTTAAATCAATTATACATAATGTGAGATCAAATTTAGATTATGATCAATATCATCTTGAACCTGGAGAGCCTAGATGCGTAATCAATGATTTAGTTCACTCATTTAATTTTGATTTAATTCAATTAAACCGAAGATTTCGGTACAGGTAATAATATTTTTCTTTAAAAGTTCTATTATACAAAATTATAATTTTTTTAATTACTTAAAGAAAACTTTTCATTTTTATAGGTCTACTATGACACGAGAGTACTTCAGGGAATTAGTGGCTGAAAGTATAATATCCAGTTCTCATTTGCTTCCTGATAACATTTTTCGAATTCCTCCCTTACCATCAGTTAATTCAAGTGAGTCAAGATTTTCTAGGAATCCTTCTGTTCTGCGTACTTCTGCAAGGCTAAAAGGAACAACTGAATTTCGTCGAAGTATTTATAGTAGAGACTTATGGGTGCAAGATTTCGCAGATGTTTCTGGTAGATACAGAGAGTGTACTCCACAGTTCTACAGGTGAAAAATAAACTCTTTAGATTTTGCTCAAAAACATTTTTATTTTTCAGTAATAACTTAAAAACTTTATAGGGATAACCCAGCTCAAATACATCGAATTGTACCTTGGTTGAATCGAGAAGTCAACGTTTTACTTGAAAATCGTGAATCTCATTCTGCCTATGTTTTAGCTCAAATCGTTTCATACCTGTCACAACATTCGATAAGAGGAAGAGAATTTAGAGAACTTGTTGAGCCTTATTTTAGATCTCGAACTGATCATTTTATTCACGAATTATATATTTTTGCGCGATCTGTATATGACATAGCTGGTTTCGACCAGCATGCCGTGTACGGGCCCAATCCAAATTTAGCAACGGTAGTTCAAGAACTGTCTTCGTCAAGTGAAGATAGTGATATTGAAATTTTGGAAACTGTTAGTGGCCAAGAAAACAAATCTTACAAAGCGGACAAGTTAAATAATAGTAGAATAAAAAACAATATTAAATCAGAATCAAAGTATGATGAGCCTATTGCAGGTCCCTCAGGTATAAGTTCATCTAAGCTATTGAAATTGGATGCAAGTGAAAGCAGTCAAAATGACATAGAAATATTAGATTTTGTAAAACCGGAGCCAGAAATAGTAGTTTTAAGTTCCAGTGATGATTCATCAACAGAGGAATATTCGGATTCTTTAATACGAAAAAGCAGAAAAATTAAAGTCGCGCCTAGGAAAATGAAAAAATCAATTCACACCCTGACAATTCCCGATGAGGAAAATACCGGATCATCTTCCGACGTAATTAAAAGTAAATGTTCAATGAGAAAAAAGAAAAAATGGATGGCTGGCGATAGTAATTGTTCCAAGGGTAAAAAAAAGCAACAAAAACATTTAAAAAATAGAAAAAGCAGGAGTTTGAGTGTTGATAGTATTATTAATATTAGTAGTAGTAGTAGTAGTGGTAGTGGCGAAAGCACGTCATCGTCGACATCTCTGTCGGAGGGTTCAAACGATTCTAGAGTAAATCGAAAAAGGAAAACGTCTCAGAAAAAAAATAAAAAAAAATTAAAAACGTCAAAAAAATTATCGAGAAAAAGGAAAAAGTATAATAGCGATTCCGAAAGTGATGATGATGATGATGATGATGATCATGAGGATTTAATTAAGGAAAAGGGAAAAAGAAAAGTCAAAAGTTGCATTATTATTCCAAGTCACGAATCCCGTAATTTATCTTTTACGTTTTCCAATTCGGATCCTTCGATCACTCATCCTTACAGCGATGATCAGAGACATCATCATCATCATCATCCCACATCTTATTGGTCCATGGGATCAAAAAATTACGAGCATTCAAGCACTTTAAAAGATAAAAATGAAGATTCCATAGAGAAAAAAATACATAATACAAAACGTTATAGAGTTTCAAGTAATGAAAAATGTCGTAAACGTGTCAGACAGCAAACATTTAGCGATGTAACCTCGGAAGAAACTGATTAAACGTTAAATTGTATTTTTTTAAAAAAAAAAAAAAAAAAAAAAATTTATTAAAAAAGGAACAAATCAATTTAAATGTAAAAAAAAAAAACGAATAATCGCGTTAAATGTTAAATACTCTCAACAAAAAAAAAACCGTGAATTGTGTTTTTCACTTTTTAAAAAAAAAATATCAATTCTTAAGATCTTATTTATTACTTTATGTATATTTAAATGGTAATAATTTAAGATGATCCTTATTATTATTATTAATATTAATTTTTAATTATAAATAAATTTAAATAAAATTAAAATTGAATAATAATTTGTTATCGTAAAATTTGACGTTGTGATAATAATCGCGAATCCACTTACACGTCTCGTACGTTTTTTTTTTCTCTCCCCCATTTTGTATTTCTTCAGAAAATTATTTGAATTATGTAAACATTAAAGAAATATTATCATTATTTGCAATAGAAGTAATTGAATTTTTAGATAAACGAATAAATTAATTAAATAAATAAATATTTAAGGTGAAATTTTTTTTGGGAAAAAAAGATAAATAAAAATTAAAAAATCAAATATATATGAAAGACCAGCTTTCATATAAAATTTTAATCATAATATTGATTCGAGATTAATTAATCAAGTATAAAAAAAATTGTTTTTTTGTTTATTTATTTACTTTTAAAAGATAAAATCATTGGTTTGTATTTTTTTTTTTTTTTGACGATGTACCATTTTTTTTCTTAAATAAATATTTCAAAATTGATACAATTTTAATGAATGGATGTAATTAAACATTATGCACTTGATCAGGATAAAAAAAAAAGTTTAACTGAAATGAATTCCTTCTGCATTAAAAGCATACAACACCCTAGAAAAAAATTTTTTTTAATTGTTAATTTAATATTTATTATTTTTAACATGATAAAAATGTAAATTTTATAAATAAGAGCTTACGATAAGAAATCATCAATGTCCATAGTTCTTGCTCTTTTAGAATCTGCTCCTATTTTTTCTAAAATTGGTTCAATTTTTTCTTTTATATTAAAATTATTCGGTATCTCCTAAAATGTAATAAATGTAAAAATGAAAAAAAACTTTTTTTTTTTTTTTTTTTTGTGACTCTTTTGTATTTTGTTTTACTTACAATATTATTCAAAGAACAATGTATCATGTAATTTTTTTCTAAAACAGCTAAAACTGATGTTTGTCTAAATGCAGCACCCAAAGTTTTGTTTTTTCTAAGAAAAGCAATTCTCGTCAAACCATCCCATTCTTTAAATTGTATGGGTGGAGGTGGATTCCTTGGTTCTATTCTCACTACACTCGATTCAACTTTTGGAGGAGGTCTGAAATTATTTTTTGCTACCTAAAATTTAATTAAAGAAAAGAAAATTTCAATAATTTTGTAAAATGATTTTCATCAATCAAATTTTTTATGTATTTAGCTCCTACTTTCATAACTATATCGACTCTAGCCAAAAGTTGAGTATTGATTGATAGCCTGCAATATAATTTGTCTCCAGGCTTTGCGACTAATCTATGTGCAAATTCTTTTTGAAACATTAAAATTGCACATCTAAAAAATGGTCTATGTAACAATAATTTAAATACTAATGGTGATGAAATTTGATAAGGTATATTGGCTACACAAGCATTAAAAAAAGGCAATTCAGATTTCAATACATCTCCAACAATGATTTCCAATTTCGATTGATATGGAGTGCATTGAACTCGTTTTTGTAATTCAGCAACCATTCTGAAAAATTAATTAACCATATCTATGAATAATTTAGATAAAATTAAATTTCCATATTGAAAAATAATTGTTTTTTTTTTTTTCAGAAGTACCTGACGTCTACTTCACAAGCTATAACTTTTTTGGCTTTATCCAATAATTTAACGGTCATATTTCCCGTTCCAGGACCTATTTCTAATACAATATCTGTAGATTTTAATGCGGCTTTTTCTACCATGTTTTGAATAACTAAAGGATTTTTTAAAATGTGTTGTCCGGCGCTTTTTTTAAACAGCATGCCTATAATTAAAAAAAATAATTTTATCAATTTTTTTTTTTTTTTGCAGTTTTCGCTTTAAAAAAGCTAACAATATATATTATTCGTAGAAATTAATTATTTTACCCTGTTTAATAACGCCCTTGAGTTCCTTAGTGGGTTTAGGTTTTTTAATTTTACCCATTTTGTTCTTATTTTCCTTCTACAATATTTATTATTTACTCACGTGGACATCGACCATAGACGTTCAAGCTTTTGAGTTAAAAAAATAATATTGCTACATCTGGTAAAATTTTTATTTTTTTATTATTTTCAATTCAAGTCAATAAATAATATATATTTTATAAATCATAATAATTTTTTAGTGATAAAATCTTATTTTTAATAAACTCTCATTATAATTTATCTAAATATTTTATTATTATTAGTTAAACACATAGTAAATATTTGTATGGTGCTCCAGTTGGTTGTGAAATTATGAGTAACAATTATTTTTTATAAATAGAAATTATATATATTTAAAAAAATAATAATTTCATCACAAAAGAAGAAAAGAGTAACTTTTTAAATATGAATAAAATAAAGAAATCGGATATACAAAAAATAAGGTATGATAATTTTTATTACACTTAAAGGTTATTTATAATTCTTTTTTAAAAAACTTTTAATTTTTTGTTTTTTTTTTTTTTTTGGTTTCAGTACAAGTTCTGTCATTAATAAAAATTTTAAAAAAGAAAACATTTTTGATGGTTCTGATGAAACTTGTTGGACATCTTGTGAAGTAAGCCTTTATTTTAATATCATCTTTTGATTAAACATTTTGTTTAATTTAAATTAATTTCAATTTTTTTTTTTTTCAGGGGAGTCCTCAGTGGGTCGCAGTCGAATTAAAAGACGAATTTACAATGACTGGATTCAGTATACAATTTCAAGGTGGTTTTGCTGGACAAAATTGTCATGTTGAATTTAATAATAAAGATGATGTTATAACCGAGTCTTTTTATCCAGAAGATATTAATTTAGTACAAAATTTTAATTTTAAAAACCCAGTTTTATCTAATAACATAAAATTAGTTTTCGATAAAAGTACTGATTTTTTCGGAAGAATCGTTGTCTACTCTTTAGATATATATTATGATAAAAATAATTTTAATAATTCATAGCATTTATTTTCTAATTTATATTTTCATATTGTATATAATAACAATAATTATACTTAATTTATACAAGCATTTAGCCTTGTAATTATCGATAAGTTAAAGTTTTGTTTGCATTGTTAACTCATCCACATTAAAAATGAAACGATAAGTCGATGATACCTTTATTACTGATTTAAATAAATTATTAATATTAAATTTCAATAAGAAATTAGTATAAATAATCAATGATAATAACTTTTAAAAATAATTAAGTATTATAAGGAAAGGACAATAAAAGAAAAAAAAAATTTCATTTACAAATAAACATTTTATATTTTTTTTTTTTTTAAATAATTTTGTTAACATTAAAGCAATTTATTTTTTTATTTATAAAATGCCAAATAAACCATTATTATTATTATTATTATTTTAGCTAAACCCCTCAACAATCATACAATTCACAAAAAATTTTTGCCACATTTTTTTTTTTTTTTAAACTAATAATAATTATTTATTTCGTGAAAATAAAAAAAAAAGAGAAAAAGATAAAAAAATTATTGCATAAAATTTTTTTTTTTTTTAAAGAGGACGTCAAGTAAAAATTTTTAATTGATGAAAAGGGTTTTTTTTTTTATATTAAAAATTATTTAAATATTGAAACCATTTTTTTTATTTTTAACAAGCTGCCTATTATAAATAAGTTATTTAAAAAAAAAAAAAAAAATTAACAAACTCAAAAAGTAAATTAATTAATTTCCTAACAATAATACTGACAAAAACAAAAAAAGTTAATGAAAAAAAAAAAAAAAAAAAAAAAAACAAAAACCTTATTGGCAATTAATTACTTTTGACACAATTTTATTATTATTATTATTATTTTAACATAACTGACATCTAAACAAAACATTTAAAAAAATTAAAAACCCTGTAAAAAACAAAAAAATTCTTTTTTTTTTTTTTTTTTTTTTTTTTTTGCTTTTCCCAGTCCATTTTATTTCATTTCAAAATTTGTCCTTCCCATAATAAAATTTAAAAAAAAAAAAATAATAATAATAATAATAATAATAAATAGGAGCCTGAACGAAAAGAAAAAAAGTAATAATAATAATAATGATTAGAGTAACATAAATTTCAAGGACGGTTTTTTCCATATATTTTTTATATTCTGGTAAGGCTCGGAATTGACTCGGTAAAGTCAAAAAATTTTTTTTTTGGACTAACAAAAAAAAAAAAAAAAAAAAAAAAAAAAATCGAAACCAAGGGAAATATAATTAACATTAGATTTTTAACATTTACCCCCTCCCCGCCTCCCCCTCCCCCCAACGTTATTTACACTCACATTTCTATGATTTTATTTACAAACAAAAAATAACCGAAAAATGCGATTGACAAAAAATATATATTTTTATATATATAAATAAAAACAAAAAAAAAAATTATTAATAATAATAATAATAATAATAATAATAATAATAATTTTATAATTACGTTTTATGCTTAAAAAATAAAATTTAAACAATACAAAAAAAAAAAAAAATAAAAGTAAAAAATAAACAAATAATTTTTTTTACAATAACATTGCCCCAGATAATTAAATAATTAATCAATTCACTGATTGATTGATTGATTGATTATCATTATTATTATTATTTTTTTAATTACAAAAAATAAATATGTAGTGAGAAGTAGTACGTTTAAATATGATTCGTGAAATAAAAAAAATACTTTTTATATATATATATAAAAAAAAAAAAATTTTTTTAAATACAACAACCTAAATCGTTAATAATAATAATAATAATAATAATTAAATCTAATAATTTAATTTCATTTAAAATTTCTTTTTCTTTTTATTTTTTATCTATATATCATTTGGCATAATTTTTTTTTTTTTTTTTACTCTATTCATATTTAAAAAAAAAAAATAATAATAATAATAAAACAAATTATTACATTTAATTTTAATATTCAATTATATAAATATTATTAATAAATAAAAATAACAAAAGGTAAAAATATAATATAATATAATAATAATAATAATAATAATAATAATAATAATAATAACTAAATTTTATTATTATTATTATTAATAAAAAATAAATTTAAGTAATTAATTAATTTTCTTCTTTTTTAAAATACTTTCGTTCTTTTTTTTTGTGTGTTAAATACTTGTAAAAATTGAATAATAATAATAATAATTGCGTTTTTATAAGGGAAAACAAATAATAATGATAATTAATTTTATAGGGAAGGGTGATAAAAACATTGATTACGTCACAAATTACAATCTTCAAAAAAAAAAAAAAAAAATTTTTCGGTGCCAAATTTTCATTTTTTCCCCCCCCCACCCCCTCAACTTTTTCATAAGCTTTTTGGTTATTTTGGTAATCTTATCAATGGTAATAAAAATCGATAATAATAATAATAATCAATAAAATGGTAATAATAATAATAATAATAATAATTATGATAAATGATGGTAATTTTTACAAATATTGAAAATTGAAACCCTTCCTTCGTAAATCAATTAATAAATAATATTTATGTATATTTATATTATGCTTAGAGTGATAATAATAATAATAATAATATTAATAAATCATTGCTAACCACAACCATTTTTTTTTATTATTGTAAAATAAGAAATATATTTAAAAAAAAATTTTTACTAAAACTTGTAAATGACGTTGTTTGTTTGAGCAAAGCCGAATTTTTTTTTTTTTTTTTTTTTTTTGGTCAAATAATTTTTTGTTCGATACAATTTTTTTTTTTTTTTTCTTTTTAATGAATTTTCTTTGTTAATGGCATAAGACGGAGTTGATAAAGAAAAAAATTTTTACCCGACATCCTTAAAAAAATTTTCCATTATATACATAAATAAAAAAAAAAAAGACGTAAAAGAAAAAATAAAAAATAAGAAAAAAAAATTTTTTTTTTTTTTTTATAAATAATCGACTGAAAAGTTTTAGCAAGCGAATTTTTCCATTTTCCCTCCCTCCCCCCATCTCTCTCTCTCTCTCTTTCTCTCTCATTAATACTTTTTTTTAAGGCAAGAAGAAGAGTAAAAAAAAAGCAAGTTTGCTGAAAAAAAAAAAAACATCAAAATTAAAATATTTTTCCCACCCCCCCTCCTTCCCTTCCCCCCCGCGATTTATACGAATGAAAATTATGAAAGAGGAGTCGTAATAAACCGTAGCAAATTATTATGCTGTTTAAAAAGAGCAAATAAATTTTTTTTACAAAAAAAAAAGTAAAGCAAATAAAGAGCATTTAATAAATAAATATGAGCTAATTTTTTAAATCCATTGATTAAAGTATTATTTTCAGCGCCATTTTTTTTTTCTTTTTCTTTTTCTTTTTCCCTTGTCGAACCTGATAAAATAAAATTTTCCCTCATGATTGAGAATAAAAAATAAAAAATTTAAGACTCCAAATTCCCGCCCCCTTTTCCCCTCCCTTTCCAAAAAAATTATAAAAACGCTGTAAATTTGTTTATAGCAAATTTAAATTTAAAAAATAAAAATCAAAACCAAAGAAATCAATGCAATGTACACCCTGCATCATCATCATCATCATCATCATCATCACGTCTAATTTCTTTCCTTTTTTTTTTTTATACTAAAATTTTTTTTTTTTTTTTTTATTCTACTTTTCTCACAGAGACAAAATTTCAGGCGGCCTTCGCATACTCGAAAAAGACAACCACCGTATATATATATATATATATATATAAATCATGCCTTTCGACCCTCGTAGGACCTGTAGAAGCCCTCTCTTGTGGGTGGATGGGTGGGCGGGGTGGAGGGAGGGCAAGACATCATCAAGTTTCGTTATTACTGCTGTTATATATCTTTCTATGATTTCTGAGAAGAGCCAGTAAGTATGCAAAATACCGGTACTTTCCGAATATGGGCTAAAAAAAATCTCGGCCCGTACCCGGACGACTGGGTTGAGAAAAACGATTTTTATTTACTTTACCACTTTGAACTGGAAAAGACCTCCTCTGATTTCTCATTTCCTTATCCACGTCTAATTCTTCCAAACGTTGCGTCAATGCTAATTTTTGTTGGACGGCTAATCGCAAAAGTTGATTTAACGTTTTCTTTTCTTCTTCCGCAGCCATGAGCTGATGCTGGAGTTCATCGACCTGTGTGACGTATTCTTCGCATCTCGCTGCAAACATGGCTCGAAGACCTAAAACGACCAAAACGAAAAAAAGGTATGTATTACTAATATTTTACAATTTTCTTTTTCTTTTTTTTTTTTTTTTTTTTTTTTTTTACAGAAACAAAAGTATTTGGAATCTATTAATGTAAGTACACCGTTAATAAATAATTTATGTTAATAATTGATTTAAAATTAAAATTAGAAAAAAAATTAGTTTCCACCCTCCACCCTCCCCTCCCCCCCATTTTTTTGATTGCATTTACCTTTTACTTAAGTAACAGTTGGTTAGGATTTTATCACCGATGCGGTGCAACCGCATATTGAAATATTTATTAATATTTATTTACATTAAACGCGAGGATTTTAATTTTTTTAAAAAACTTTTACAAATAAATAAAGTTTTAACGAAATTTAAACTTTTCAAATTAATAACAAATCCTACATGTTAAACGGTAATAAATTTATAAATTTATAATGCATTATATAAAGCAATGTAGTTACGAAAATACCAATAGTTAAAACCCTTACAAACTTTAAAACTATAGTATTATTATTATTATTTTTTTTTACTATTTGTTAAATGACCTAATAAATATTTTTAATTATTAGTAATTAGTCTTTAGTAACTAAAAGTATCCCTTTTTTTTTTAAGTTAAATACTAATAACCTAGCTTTCTGAAAGTAGATTAATGATAAATTAAGCGGTTATTAATCATTAGGAAAAATTTGGTACATAAAGTTTAGAATTTTGTAGGTAGGATTAGTATTATTATTATTTTTTTTTTTTTGGGGGTTTTAAAGCGAGGAAGAAAGGAAAAAATGGATAGTTTTTTTTTTAAAAGGCTCATGATGCCATGATTTTTTTTTTTTTTTGTTATTCTTCCTCACTTACTTGAAAATGTAGCTGCATCTTCCTTTAATAGTCTCAATTCGTTTCTGAGAACTATCATTGTTTCACTAACCAATATTTTTTCACTTTCATATTTTGATTTGAGGTTTGCAAGTGCAACTTCCGCCGTGTTTTTATTCGATTTTAATACCGTACGTAAAGTTGCAATTTGTTCCCTCTTTGTTGATAATAAAGATTTGAGTTTAATATTTTGTTCCTGAAGCTCAGCTATTTCCGCATCCTTATTTTCATTTGAGCTTTCTGTAATTTTTTTATTATTATTATTATTATTATTAATAAATTTACAACGGTGTAAATGTTAACAATGGATGGACATTTAATGTAACGTGCAATTACAATAATTTGTGTAAATTAAAATTCCCAATGGGTAAATTGTACACAGTCAAACTTTAAATGAAAATATCTTAAAAGTATATGGTTTTTATTTTAAATTTTCAATTACCTCATTTCATAAATTTGCAAGCATTTAAATTGAAATCGGAAACCGAAATATAAACCTAAAAATTTTAATTTTATGCAAATCTAGTTATTTAAACGAAAATCAAGTTTTTCACATTTCAAAAATTAAAACCTTTTTATAATAAAATATTTTAATGGATGGATTCATTAAAAATGAATCTTCGTTTGATTTGTGAAAACTCTACACATTTTTCAATTATTAAGAAATCATTAAAAGATAAAAAATAAAGAGAGATGAATAAAGTCATCTATTTCGATTTGATATAAATATCTAGAAATGTCTTCACTTATCATAGAAATATGTAATATTTTTAAAAGAAACCAGGGCTAAAAATGTATATTGGGGAAACACTACATTAGGTATAAATAAAAAATTAACAAAATTACCTTCTTTTTGCAGTAAGTTAGACCTTCCCTTGTTCTTCGAATGTTCCAGAGTGTTCTCAACGGACTTTCTCAAATGCTTAACTTGATCTACTATAGTTTCAACATGACTAGCCATTCCAGCAGCATCTCTGAGAGTTTCTAGATCTTTTTTAGAAACATCTGTTTTTAATCGTCCTCTTAACATTTCAATTTGAGACACTGAAAAGTCACTTTTTTCAGCAGAGTTTTCATCGGCTATGGGAATGACTTCACCTTTTTTTTCATGATCTAATAAAACTCTGCTTGGGGTTTCTCCATTAACAGCACAGACATGATGGTACAATTGTGCTAATTCATCTGATACAGTTTGCAATCCTGACATTGCAGCTTCAAGGGAAGTACTTGCACCGCAAGTTAATTGACCCAAAATTAAAACATCAGATTTGTATTCTAATGCTTGTTGTTCACTATCAAGCAATTTATTTTTCAAGTTGGCTATATCAGTTCTTAATTGTGCAGTTGCATCAGATATGTTTAGACCTTTTTCCAATTCAATCAATTCGTTTTTCAGTTGATCAAGTTCTTTGTAAGTGAAATCAAACCACTGCTGATAATTGAGCACAATCAACGATAATTTGTCTAAAGTTGCGTCTTTTGGATACACACCCAAATCCTGGGCTTTATTTTTTAGAGTTTGTAATGAATCGACATGTGTACCTAATTGAATAATTTTGGATAAGAAAGCCTGAAGTTCTTTTTGACTTTTATCGACTTGCATTTGAGATTCTTTTAAATTTTGAGTTAATGCTAATTTTTCCAAATCTGCTTGTTCAAGTTGTTTTTCCAACTTTTTAATTTCATTTAAATGTATTTCACTAAACAAATCAACTTGTTTTCCTTCTGGTGATGTTAAATCTAAAGTAGACCCTTTAATATCTGCCTCTATTTGTTGTAAGGCTGGTAAATCTTCTTCATCTGAACCACCCCCTCCATCTTCAGTCATTCCTCTAATGGTGTATGCTAAATTGCTGAAGTTGAACATATTCATATTGGGATTATTAATTTTTTGATCTATTTCTTTTTTTAATGCATATTTAGCTTCTCGTTCGACTTGCAAGCTTTGTAATGCCTCTTCCATTTGTTTTTCTGCTATTTTTTTTAAATTTGTTAATTCTTCAATTTGTTGATGGCTTAATTTAATTTCTTCTTGGAGAGATCTGATTTCATGTTTAATGCCTTCAAATTCGATTTGAGAATATTTAAGAGATGACACTTGTTTTTGAAGACTAATATTTTCTTCTTCGAGTTCTGCATACTCTGATATCAGACTTGTCTCTCTTTGCTTGATTTCCCTAAGTTGCAGTTTAAGGTGCCTCCTTTCTTGTTCTCTTTCTTCTTTATCTTTGTCATAATCATTATTTTCTTGAATTAACCTATCTCTTTCATTTGTTACTCTTTCTAGCTCTTGACGCAATTGTTTTGTTTCATTTTCTAAATCTAAAATTTGAGAATTTAAAGAAGTTTCTCTAGCTGCTGACTCACTAAGAAGGGATTCCTCTTGTTCAATGCCACTTTCAGTCGTCACTTTATGGCTGGTTTGAAATTTAGCTAAAGCTTCCTGAGTAATTTTTAAATCATGTCTTGTATTTTCATACAGAACTTCCAACTCATTATACTTATCTTGAAGTAACGATTTTTCTTCCAAAAGTACAAGTCCATATTGAGCAGATTGTACTTTTTCACTACTTGCTTGATCTAGCTCTCTGCTTAACCTGGCCACTTCTTCTTTTAAAAAAACCAATGTTGGCTCTTCTGCCATTTTATTAAATAAACTCACAAGGCAAAAACATTAAATATTGTCTAATTGATGTTAACCATATTTTATAACTGTTGTAAAAATAAACAAAATCATATTAAAACAATCTAAAAAAAGAAAACAGAAAATACATACAAAACTGTGTGACGGCTGTCATGGCTGTCACAGGTTGATCGGAAGTACCAAAATAATTTTCTTTCAAATTAAAATCCTTCATATTTGTAACTTAAAATAGAATTTTTTTCATTTTAAAATATAATTTTTAATTTTAATTGATATTAGCATTATAGAACATATTAAAAAAGCAAAATGTTTAAAATTTTTTAGTGCGTTTAAAAGTACTCAATCGGAAACGCCACGAAAGTAATTTTTTTAAGGTACTTTTCATAAATAAAAAGTCATAGAGTAAAAAAAATTTACCGGTAGTTACAAGTATTTTATTGAACAAAAAATTTTTTTTTTTTTTTTAAAGTAATGATTTAATAATATTATAGTTTTATTTCTTGAAAGAATAATAGATTACTAAAAATAATTAACAAAAATATTTTATTTTCTATTTAATTCTATTAAAAGAACTTAATAATTGTTTTATTATTTGAACGCAGTAAGTAAATTTTTTTTTCTTCTTTTCTTAAATTTGGGTGCATTCAAATTAAATTTCAGTAAAATTTTTTTTATATGATTAAATGTTTTAATTTTTCTACATATCTCTCTAAAATATTATCAACTAACCCAACATATCAGATAAAAATGTATTTATAATACTAACAGATATTAATTTAATACAAAAAAATCTTATGGATGACATTTCAATTGATAAACCTCAAGTGGTAATAAAATTAAAATTATATTTTATATAATTTCTTGTTTAATTAAATAAAATTGACAATTAACATTCATTAATTAGTTAAAAACATTTTAAGTAATGATTTAAATAAAAAAAACCACACACACAAATCAGAGTGCAGTACATTTTCATATAATAAAATAATATCAAACTTGATATAATTGTGGTTAATTAACATAATATTCATACACAAATATGGAGAACATTTTTGAAATTAAATGATGAAGATTTAACTTTTGCTAATAAACGTTATATAAAAATTAACCGAAAGTAAAAAAGAAAAAAATTTTGTGAAGGGTGTCGGCGCAAAGAATAAAAAAAAAAAAAAAAAAAGAGAAAAAAAAACGTCACGTCGGTTATTCGACGTTCGGCCGATTCAGTCTGACGTTAAGCACAATTTAGAACGGGACCTGAAGAACGTTTTATTAATTTACCGTTCATTTCGCGATCCGTTCATTTTTTTTTACACACACACACACACACCAACCATATAAATATTTTATAAATCATATTATTCGTTAATTTTTAAATAATATTTTCCAACATAAAAAAAAAATTCAAGAGTTTATTACTACAGACAAAAAAAAAAATAATTTTTTTTTTTTTTTTAAGTAAATAGAAAATTTATTTAATACCGACCGAAAAATTAAAATTTTAAGTGATTTAATTTTCTTTTTTTTTTTTTAAATAACTAAAAAAAATTATTTGGTGCTTTTTTTTTTTTATATAAATAAATAAATTACAATAAATTATTTTGTTGAAATGTTTAAATATATATTCCTTAATGTTAATTTGGCAACTTAAAAACTAATTTATATATATATGTAATATCTGTGATAAATTTGTTTCTTTTTTGATTGCGACTAAAATTTTTTTTTAAATATATTTTATTCATTAGAATATTGCCAAAGGAAAAAAGAAAAAAAAAAAGGGAAATTTTCAAACGGAAAAATTCGAGGAGACGAAGAAGAGAATTGTATGTGTTTGTGTTTTTTTTTCGAATTGGAAAACACACACATTTATATATATATATAAATACATAAAACAAGTAAGCAAGCTTTCATAATTTTATTTATAGACGCTAATGAATTTTTTTTTTTTTTTTATTTTAAATTATTGTTTTGTTGTTGTGGTTGTTGTTGTTGTTGTATCCTTGAAGTTTCACCTTTGATTACGTAACGTACAAAAAGAAGATAATTAATTAATTAATTTTATTATTTACATTTATTTATTAATTATATTATTGACACTGGGATTTTTAACCACACCCACTAAATTTCAGTTCGTTGCCTTTGAAATAATCTGTATGATGAGGAGAAATGTTTAATATAAATATACCATAAGCGTGCCAATTATTATTATTATTAATAATAACAAACGTTTTTTTAATACGGGTATCTATGTTTCAATTTTTTACACACAAGATAACAATGCGAACGTGTCTTTCTCTCTCTCTCTCTCTCTCTCTCAAGTGTACGAATACAATTTTTTTTTTAGATTTTGGCTTAGTTGAATTATTATTATTGTTGTTGTTGTTGTTGTTGTTGCCCTGGCATAAGAAAGTTTTAAACAATTTTTGGCATCGAAGGTTTATTATATTAAAAAAAAAAAAAAAAACGAAATAAAGGATTTTTGCCAAATGTCCGGGGTCAGTGTTTATGGGTAGTTAATAAAAACCGCGAGATTTTCTTTTTTAAAAAAAAAAAAAAATAATAATCTTTGTAATCGATCGAATCGAAAAATATTCTTTTATTTAATTTAAAAACAAAAAAATAAATTTATCAAGATATTACAGGTTTTTGATTGTTTTCTTTTTTCCAATTTGTTTGTTTTATAAATTTCATTTACTCATTATTATTATTATTTTAATAATTATTATGAAAAGTATACCCTCTTGATAGTTATCATCATTATGATTATTTTTAAACGTATTTGCTATTTAAATAATGAGGAGTCGATGTTTTTAAGAAAATCTTTTTTTTCTTTTTATTGGAGAGTCTAAAATTTTTTTTTGAGGTTAATAAAATAATATTTATCATATATAAATGTAATTTCTCATAGGTTCTTCTTCGTGGTCGGTTACATTATTAAAAAAAAAAAAAAAACGTTGTTAATATTCGGTAAAATGAAATGGAAAATGAAAGAAAGAGAAAAATCATATAGAAATAAAATCCTTTTGTTCGAATATTATTATTATTATTATTATTATTATTAACGAGGTTTCTCTTTTTTATTCTTGACCCAAATTTTATTATTATTATTGTAAGAATTATTTTATTTTATTTTTTATACAAAAAAAAAAACTATATATAATATTTACGGCCGTATAATTTTCAACTGTTTATTTTGATTAATGATATTTCGATGTGAGCAATAAGAAAAAATTTCAATTTATTAAAATGTTGCAAATTTTTTTAATAATAATAATAATAATAACTCGTTGTTTCCCCCTCCCCTTCCCCCTCTTCCCCGATGATTTTTATTTGTTTAAATTAGAATTTATTTATTATGGGGGGGGGGGGGGAAAATTTCGAAAGGTTTTTATTTTGTAATTAAAAATTAAATTGTAATTTTCTTTCTTATTTTTTTTTTCAATTCATTAGTTACGGGGAAGAGGGGGAAAGAGGGGGGAGGGAAGGGGATTTCTTCGTAAAAAAAAGAAAATGTGCCCCAAATTACTTCGTCATTATTATTTTAATATCCATTGTCGTCGAGTCGTTCGCCCCATTATTATTACAAAGATGCCTTTTTTTTTTTTTATTTAAAACGAAAAGAAAAAATTATAAAGGAGAAAAAAGAAAAAAAGAAAAATGCATAAAACGAAATGAAAATTTTTTTTTTTTTTTTTGTCTAAAAGCAAAGCGAAAAACAATTTAAGACATGGAGGATTGAAAAAAAATTTTTTTTTTTTTTTGGTAAGATGTTGGCTTGACGCCCAAAGGGTCACTCTTATGGTTTTAGGGATCTAATATTTACGAAATTTTTTATTACCGGAACTCCATCGGTTCCTGCAATAAAAAATTTAATTTTAGCAAAAAAAAAAAATTTTTTTTGAAGGATTTTAAATAAGCCAAAGGCCAGTTTGACGAAAAGAAAAAGAAAAATTTTAAATTTTCTTTAATGCTTTCTTTTTCGATTGAGAAATAATGATGATGACGTCATCGAAATCATTTTTCTTCATATTTTAAATCTTTATAAACAATTGAAAACAAATGCTTAAAGAACAATTAGAAAAACGATGTGGGGGGAAAAGGGGAAAAACGAGTCGAAATTTGAATTATTATTATTATTATTAATAAAAATGTGTGATGACGTATGGTTTTGATTTATTATTATTATTATTATTATTTTCATTAACGAAAAAATTTTAACTTTAAAGCTTCGAAAAAAAAATTAAATGAAATGTTTATAGAGATAATGGATTCAAGAGGTTTTCAAAAAAATTTTATTTATTAACGTTTTATCAGAGCAGAAGAAAATATTAATTAATTAATTTATCCTTGGCAAAACTTGTATTTTTTCGTACATAAAAATTATTTATTTATTTAAGTACATAAGTTTTTATTTTAGTAATTGCAAGAACGTGCACGTTTTCCGTTAGTAACGCATTAATAAAAGATTAACGAAACGAAATATTGAATAAATACAACAAAATGATAATAATAATAATAATAAATGGTTCATGTGAGAGGAGGTGGTTGTTGAGAAGAATGGATGAGAAAATCTCGTTTTGTTTAAAAGAGAAAATTGTGTGTGTGTACGTGGATGAATGATGAAAAAGGAAAAAAGGAAAAAAAAATGACTCATAATCGATTAGTATAGTAATTGAGTAAAGAAACGATAATTAAATTAGTTTTTCGAGTGTTAATTTATTATTAACCCCGTTTTTAGAACGAAAAAGAAAAAAAAAATTTTCCTTCGATATGAAACTTTCGATACGTTTTAAAACAAACAAAAACCCTCCGATGAAAAACTATAGGAGAAAAAGGAAAGAAAAAGGAAAGAAAGGAAAAAGGAAGGAAAATTATTATATTCTTTTCTAATAAGAAATTATTTATTAGAATTGATTTTTTTTTAATTGAATTCGATGGGAAATTTTTACAATTTGGAATTTGCTGTTGTTGTTGTTGTTTTCTATATAAATTTATATATATTTAAAAGTCGGGAAATTTTCCGAAGAATAACTTCAATGATATTTTTGAAAATCGCGGTGAAAATTTTAAACGAATGGGAAAAAAGGGGGAAAAAGGGGGAAAATTTTTTTTTTTCGATTGGGGGGATAAAAGTTGTAAAATTTTGGGGCTTCGTGAAATAATAATAATAATAAATTATAACATTACGTTTTTTTTTTTTTTTTCACACGTTTTTATTGCTTTTTATTGTTTTTTTTTTTTTTAATGGCCGGAAAACCCCAATTTACGCGACATGGAAAATATTAATTATCGTTTGTTTTTAAGCCATCGGTATCCAATTAACGCGTCCCATCGTCAATGGTTGGTTTTTAATCGGACTCCTGTAGAAAATTATTCTCGAATAAAATGAAATCCAACTCAAATTTTTTATTTTTCATTACTCGAATTTTGTACGGTGGAAAAAAGGTTTCGTAACGCATACATAAATAAATAGAAAAATGGAAGGTGGAATTATTATATAAAAACGAAATAAAAAAAAAGAAAAGAAAAATGGGACGGGGGGAGGCGGGGGAGGATATGAAAAAAAAAAACAACAAATAATTTTCGTTCCGGTCGAAAAGAAAACGTTGACAGGTCAATTAATTATTTTTCATACGAGATCCTAAAAGAAAAGAATTTCCCAATTGAAAATAATAATAATAATAATAATAATAATAATAATAATAATAATAATTGTTTTTTTTTTTTTCAAATTTAAATCTCACGGGATTAAATAAATAATAATAACGTTAAAAGTTTTTTCTTCGGTATAAAAAAATTTTCCAGGTAGAAAAATTTTTTTTCTTTTTATTTATTTTTTCTAACCAAAAAAATTTTCTTTTATTATTATTATTATTGGGTTTAAATTCTTTATTTTATGTCGTCATTATCTTTATTATTATTATTATTATTATTATTATTGAAAAATTTTCGTATAAAAATCGGGAAAATTAAGTTTATAATTGGTTGAACAATAAATAGTTAATTAATAAAAAATTTTTTAAGGAAAAAGGAAAAGTTATCAAATTTGTCGAGTTTAATAGGATGATGAAATTTTCCGAGGGAAAATAATATGTTGACGTTGACGTAATAATAATAATAATAATAATAAATTTTATTTTAAATTTTTTATTTATTTAAAACCGATAAAAAAAAAGAAAGGAAAATTAAACATTTTATTATGGAAAGTTAAATTAGAAAAAAAATTTTCCGGGGTTAAAAATTAATTAAAATTTTTTTAATAAAGATGTTTAAACGTCGTCGCGTTAAAAAACACGTAAACGAATTTGAATTTAAATTAAAATTAAAATTTTAAATTAATAACGTAAATATGATTAATAATAATGATGATGATAATAATAATAATAATGATAAAAACAATTATTTAAATTTTTTTTTGGGGGTTCGTGGCAAAAATTTATTAAAATCCATGTTGTGTAAAAGATTCAATTAGGGTGAGGAAAAACGTTTTCCCCCCCCCCTTTTCCCCCTCTCCCCCGCCTCCCCCTCCCCGATGAACGTGGCGGTAGATTAACGTTCGTGATTTTAATTTTTTTTTAAAAGTGTGTCTCTTATCGTAAAAAAATTATAATAAATGATAAGGAGGAGGGAGGTTTCCTGATAACGTCGTTCATTCAGGATAATGCATAAATTTTCTTTAAAAATTAATCGAGATTAGAAATAAGTTTTTTATTAAATTTTTTTTTGGTCCAGTTTTCTTTTTTTTCATCATCATTTTCTCTCTCTCTCTCTCTCTTGTCTGTCTTCCTCTCTTCCTCCTCCTCCCCCTCTCTTTCTCCCTCAAGTTATCTTTAACCAGTTAAAGGTTAAATTTTTTTTTTGCCTTTTTTTTTTTTTTTCATTTCCTTTTTCTATTTTCCCCACAGCTTACTCGTCGTAATTCGCGATTCACTTCCTTAATATTTAAAAAGTAGCTTTTTAGGTTTATTATTATTATTATTATTATTATTTTTTTTTTATAAAGCTTTTAAAAGCTTTTATTATCAATTATAATAAATGTAAAACTTTCATTATTAATAAAGGTATTGATGCATAATAATCGAATTTTTATTTATCGTCGAGTTTTTTTTTTTTTTTTTATTAAGGGTAAAATTTTTTTTTTTTAAGGAGAAATTTTATTTATTTATTTATTTACTTAAAAATTTTCATATTGCATTAAAATGCGGGGAGAGGGAGGAGGGGGAAAGG